CCCCCCCCCCCAGCCGGCGCAAGGTGGGCCCCGCCCCTGCACACCACCCTACCCCACCCACCCCGCCCCCGGCCCTGGCCGTCCAACCTGCTGTCCCTGCCGTCTCAGGTGGTCGCGTTCTGTGACGTCGACGAGAACAAGATCAGGAAGGGTTTCTACTGCCATGAGGATTCCCAGGTGTGAGGGGCCATGGCACGGGAACCCCGGGATGTCCCCAGGGAGGGCCTCGGCCTCCCGCTGCAGTCCCCTCTCACGGCTCCGGGGCTGGGAGGACAAGCACCCAGAGCCTTCCCCGGCAGAGCCCCTGTGCTCCCAGGAGCCTGTGCATCCCCGCACCCCCTCCAGGTCTGGGCTGGAGGCTGCCCTAGACGGGGGCCCCCGAGCGGGGCCGCGCCAACACCACAAGGCTGTCCCATGACGAGGGTCTTCTCCCGTCTCCCGTTCAGGAAAGGCCCAAGCCCCGGGTCCCCATCCTACACTTCCGAGCCGCCCGGCCGCCCTTTGTCATCTGCGTGAAGCTGGTAAGTGCTGTGGCCGCTCGGCAGTTGCGCGGCCTGGCAGCCTCAGGCATGTGGCATGGCTCAGATGGGGTGGTCGCTGCGGCCTTGGGGCCGCGGGGGTGTCGGGCGGGGCATGTCCGCACCCTCCCAGAGCTGGTCTCCTGCCTTACACGCGTTACTTGTGAGTGTGCCAGGCGCAGTGTGGCACCTGCGGGCCTCGGAGATCCTGCTGGTGTGTCACTCAGCGTGACCAAAGCGTGTGTGCACACATGTTGGCGGTAGAGCCGGGCGGTGACCGCGAGGCTGCTGGGAGCACCTGCCCCGCTGCTCCAGCCCCACCCACAGGGCCCCTGCTATGCCCGGAGTTGTGTGTGTGTGTGTGTGTGTGTGTGTGTGTTTGAGGGTTTTGCTCACCAGAGACAGACAGAAAGCGAGAAATCACCCCCCGGGGGGGTGGTCACGCCGCAATCCCTTCTCCTCCGGTCTCCTCTCGGGATCTTGGGCACACACGCACACGGCGTGAGTCTAAGCCACCGGGTCCGGGACGTGAACCGCGGTCGACTGCGTGGGAGTCCAGCAACAGCCGTTATGCCCACTGCTGGTTCCCGGTAGTTTTCTTGAGCCTGTCCTTACTCCTGGCCTTCGTGGGGGACCATGAGCTGGCAGCACGGTCGTCCCACTGCAGAGCCCGGCCTCCGTGCGGTCCCCCTGCGCTCAGGTGCTCAAACTCGCCGCGAGCGTCTGCCGTGGGCGGCTCGCCCATGCCGTCTAGGTGGCCTCCAGCCCTTGCAGCTGTTCCGGGGCCTGGTGACGCCCATGCGTACAGTGACAGACGTCGGCCTGTGCAGGGCTAAGACGTGCCTGGGGACCGTGCCCACCTCCCGTGACACTGGTCCTGTGTCCCTGAGCTCCTCACCCACCCCACGCGCTGGTCATCATGTGTGTGGCAGGCATGTCCCCGAGACATTGCCGTGATCACAGACCCCGGCTCTCGGTTCACTTGGAAAGCCTTTCCTGGGTCGAAGCACGTGCCATCCCAGGCCCCGTCCCCGTCCTGTGCCACGCGGGGAGAGCCGAGGGCCCCTCCAGGGCGAGTGCGTTCCCCCACTCCCCGGCCGTGCAGCCGGGTCTGGTCTCTGAGTCTCAGGTGAGAGGGGTGACGGCCGAGGCCGAGGCTGCCGTGCTGCAGGAGGGCGGGCACCCTGACGGACCCGAGCTGCCCTCCCGTTTGCCACACGGCCACTCGCCCCTTCCTCCTGGTCGGCAGTGTCGTGCCGACCGTAACGCGGAGACGGCACCTCCAGGCCCTTCTGCTGATGACGTTTAGTTTTTTCGCCATGTAGATACCCGTGACTGCTTTTCTCTGTGCACCCGGAATTTTGTTCAGACTTTAAGCTCGGGACGCCGTGACCTGTCTGAGGTGTGGGGCACGCATCCAGTGGTGGCCTGCTCTGGGGTGTCACAGCAGCCACAGGCACATGAGCCAGCCCCCCCATACGTCCCTCTCACGTGTGCGTTGTCCTCTCCCTGGAGAACCCCGATACTCGGGCTGGCAGGTCCCCATGTGCCCCCAGACCATGCCTCTACCCTGCTGCAGGGCGGCTCACAGAACCCACTGCCCTCGCTGCTTCCTGCTCAGCGTCTTGCCGGGCTGCGCTGCGGGAGCTGGCTCCCAGACTGTCCTGACACCTGGCTGCCGGGGAGTGCAGTCCTGGGGGCGGCCCCGTCGGCGCCCTCTCGCCCACAGAGCGGCTGTGCAGAAGGGGCCGGCCGCACGGGCTCAGCTCAGCTCCCTGCTGCGCTGGGGAAGGCTGTCCCTGTGGACGCGTGTCCCAGCACCTCGCTCCTGACTGGCATCCGGGTCCCCACCCGTCTCCCAGGGACTGGGGACGTTCCTCCTCCTCACCTCACCGCGTGCTTGCCTGTTCTCTCTAAAAACACCCCTCTGTGAGCTGGAGACAGATGGCAGCCCCAGCAGGGTCTCACGGGCATAGCCAGTCCCCGCTTGGGCGGCGTGGGTCCCAGGCACCTGCGTGCCCAGTGCCCCAGAGAGGCCTCCGGCGGGACCAGGACCTCCCCACTGGGCGGCACAGTCTTGGCCTGCCGCTGCCGTCCAGCCCTCCGCTCTCTCCTTGGAAAGTGCTGGTTAAGGGGGGGGGGCTAGTTTAGTCTTGCTGAAGGGGAGGGGGGGACCCACTGAGCCAGGCCCGTGTTCCCTTCACAGACTGGGAGCAGAGTCAAGGGGAGAAGGGGACTTGGAAAGCAGTAGACGGGGTGTGGGAAGTTCAGGGTCCCCAGCCAGTGCCGGCAGCAAGGGGGTGTTCTGATGGCAGGCAGGGGGAGGGCGCGGACCCGTGCAGCGCAGAGCAGGGTGTTCCCTCCCGCTCTGCCCTGCCCAAGGCTGGAGGCCAGGGCTCCCCTATGCTGGACTGGCCTCCCAGAGCCGGTTCCCAGCAGGAGGGGCAGGCCTTGCCAGAACCCACAATGGCCCAGGCAGGTGGGGCAGGGGTGAGGTGGAGTGACCGGGCCACAGACACAGGACCAGCGAGGCTTCTGGGGACCTGCGGCACAGCCTTCACTTCTCCACAGCTGCAGCCTCAGGCGGGAGGGCTGGCAGCTGGTGGTTCTCGGGCCTCCTCCAACCTCGGCCCGAGGAGGTGGGGTATGTGGAGGCCCCGGGAGCAGCCGCGAGGTCAGGGCAGGCTGGTCTGCCCTGGATGTGTGGGGAGGGGTGCTGTGTGGTGGGGTCCTGCCTAGTGGCGGGGCCTCAGCTGCTTCTGCAGAGGGGCCATGGCGGGCAGTGCCACCCCCGCCACCCCGCTGTCCTCAGGCCCCTGACCGCCCCCCCACACACACACCCCGTTAGCAAAGGTGAAGCTCTCAGCCTGGCCCAGAAGGCAGCCCCGGCCCTCCTGGGCAGCTCTGAGCAAAGGGCGTCCCAATGGACCTGGACCTGCTGCCCCAACAGGACCTCACTGGAGGCGCGTTTGAGGACAACCTCAGGTCCCTGCAGCTGCAGGAGGGCCGGGACTTCCTTCACTTCAGCTGATCACAGCGGCCACTCCCAGGTGGGCCTCCCTGCCCCATTTCCCTGCCTACTCGAGTGGTCTGCGCCTCGGGCTCCGCAGCGCCACGGGCATCTCTCAGGCAACTGTCCGCTGTGACACACGCATCTTGTCACCTGGCATCACACCCGTGTGTGGTGCTTGGGGACCTTGTGGCCCTGATGTCAGTCAGGAGCTCAATTGCAGGTGCGGTGGACGTGTCCCGATTCTCGGCAGCCCACCCTCCCGCATCTGGACCTCAAACCCCACACATGAAGCAGGGCGCCAGCCGCTCCACGTGACACGCATGGCAGCCACTGTGCCACCTACAGCTCTGGGCCTCTGTGGCCACACGTGAGCTCTAAGCCCCCAGGCAGGCGTGGGCTGCTGAGGTTCCTTTTCACGCAGTCAGCTACTGGACAGCTCAGCAGGGGCTCAGGCCCGTGGGGGCAGAGACCTAAAGCCTGTACGCGGCCTCGGCAGCGGCGTGAGGGGCTCCCTGCACCCCCTGGGAGAGCACTTGAGGCTGGGGGCCCTGGTCACGAGGCCCGTGCTGGCCGGGCCGCATGACCTGGTCCCTGAGTGCAGGACGCCAGCCGCCCCCACCCCCACAGCAGGCCCAGGAGCAGGACCTGCCCAGCCCTCGTTCCTCCGGCAGTTACCACAGCGCCCCTGGCTGAAAACCCTGCACGGCCTCACGAACGGCTGGGCGGGCCCTGGCAGCGCGGGCTCTGGCGGGCAGCTCCCCTGGCAAGGCTGCCCCAGACCCCAGGGATGACAAGGCAGAGGCAGGAGCTGCTCGGACGGGGGTTATGGGC